AGATATACAGATGGTTGAATGATCTAGAATGTTAGCTGAGAACTTGATGAATTGTTTAATTGAAAATCGGCATTAAAAAATTCGGAACTCGGAAGTCTCATTTGATCTCACGTATCGGCTACTATCATTGAATAAAAAGTTTAAGTACGCAATAGGACTGCAATTGTTAGTTTATATATCTTGTTGTTACTGGTAATTTCTATTGCAAAATCCAACAGAAATTTTCGACGGAGAGTCAAACTGAAACGACCATGAGTTTTCAGCCACTTTCAAGGTTTTTAAAGGGACGTTCATTTAGTGAACGCTCTAAAAAGAAACGATGACTATGAATTCGTCGACGCCGGGAATATCGCTTTTGCCCAACCGTAAACGAAAACGAAGCAATGAGGATTCGACAGACGAAATATCTAATAATTTGCAGGCCATTTCCAAGTCTGAGTCTACAGAACCTTCGAAACTTTTAGAACCGAATCCAACACCTAAAGGACGAAAAAATCGTAAACGTAATCGTAACCGTAATAGTCAGAAAAGTACGATACCGTTTAACGATGCATTTCGGGATCCTGAATTCAAGTTTTCTGAAATTTTGCCAAAGACTTGTACCAACCAGAATCAAGTGTCCAAGAGGGTGAAAAAGTATTGGTATAACCGGTTTAAACTGTTTGAGAAGTTTGATCAAGGAATTTGTTTGGATGAAGGTTTGTTGTCTGACATTGATTGGGTTGTACTTGTGTTGAGTACGAAAGTTGAATTCAAGGTTAAATGAACTAATCGTTATTCTTATTTTGGCTTTCGTTTGGGTGGGGTGGTGCTTGATTTATGATATATAGAAGGATGGTTTTCTGTAACTCCAGAAAATATTGCAGCTCATATTGCAGAACGTTGCAGAGGGGATGTTATCATTGATGCATTTGCTGGTGTCGGTGGAAATGCGATTCAATTCGCATTTACTTGCGAAAGAGGTAAGGACCCTGTTAATCATACCACCTGTATTTTCCCTGAGATTCTGTTCACACAATGTTATTGTACGTAGTCATTGCAATCGACAAGTCCCCGATTCGATTGGCGTGCTTGAAGAGAAATGCCCAAGTTTATGGAGTCGAAGATCGGATAGAGTGTATATTAGGAGATTTCTTTGAGTTGGCTAAATCCAGGAGGTTAAAGGCAGATGTGGTATTTTTGAGCCCGCCGTGGGGAGGACCTGAATATTTAAATGCGGATACGTTTGGTTTGCAAATGATACCTTGCGACGGGTGCGTTGATAAATCTCTTTTACGCAGTTTTACAGAAAATTAGGAAAAGTGAATTTGACCAGAAATCATTTCTATCTGGTGTCTTCAGTTCTCATTTACTCAATGTGGCTCGTACGATTACACCCAACATTGCGTATTTCCTTCCGCGGAATTTGGATTTAACTCAACTTCCCTTGGTCACGCCACCTGGTGCTGGATGTGAAGTCGAAGAAAACTATTTATTTGGGAAGCTGACAAGTTTAACTGTATACTGGGGGGATATGGTAGGATGCAGGAGATGGTTAGAAGCAGGAGCTGGACAAACAGATGAAATTGAGGTCACCCAAGGTATAGCAATTCGGGGCTCGATGACGGATAATGGTAAAGTGATCAATGTCAATGGCGTTCATAGTGGTAGCAGAGACGAGGAGAGTTCGCAATCAAGTGAAGAGAGTGAATCGAGTAGCGCGGAAAGCAGCAGCAGTAGTTCAGATTCAGATACCTCAGATTCAGATAGTACTAGTTCAGACAGCTCAAGTTCAGATAGCTCAAGTTCATCAGGCTCTGAATCCAGTGAGGATAGCAGCGACGACAGTTCTAGTTCTGATTCGGATAACTAGACAGCTGTACATGAGAATATTATTTATAAATAATAGACACAACACTTGTAGAACGGCCAACGTGTTCCGCAAGTTCGGCAGATATGACCAAAGCTAATGAAGGAGTAAGCCGATTTCCATGTATGCGTACTATACTACTTATGCACATCCTGAGTTATTTGGCAATTTCATGCGTTGCGCTCCCTCCGTGGCAAGACAATTGATCTGATTAGTGATAAGTTCTGTTTGAGGGGGATGACGCTGTCGTTATCGGAGACAGACTGACGGAGTGAGCAAGTGATCTTTGGTTCCTTGGTGCAGTTTGCCCTCTTCGGCAACCTTGAGTGGTTCGCTCTACATAGTCTATCCATCAGGTAGTTCACTCTATCTGCAGTGCATGTCTCTTACTACGATCCAACTCTCTTGTCAATGTGTATATGGTCATTCTACATTCTACAGTTCCCTCATGCCAAGTCAGCCTGTCTGTCCGAGGGAACGGCCACGTGGCCCCATTCAGCCACATCCATTGTTGCGGTGAGCGCATTTTGCACGGAAATTCCCACACCAAAACTCCACTCTTCCCTCATTCCATCCCTCATTCCATCCCAATTCCCATTGCCATCCCCATCTCTATTCCGGATACATCCTCCCTGTCAACCAATATGCCTGCCATCGCTTCTCAGGCCTACGTCTCCCTCGTCACCTCAGACTCCTACGTCATCGGGGCCCTCGTCCTCGCAAACTCCCTCAGAGAATCAGGCACCACAAGGCAAATCGTCTGTCTCTACACCCGAAACCTCTCCGCCGATTCAATCCAAAACCTCTCCCACCACTTCGATGCCATCATCCCAGTCGATCCGATCCGCTCGGTCAACCACGACAATCTTGCCCTCTTGGGTCGTCCCGAACTCGATATTTCATTCACTAAATTCCATGTTTGGCGCTTAACCCAGTTCACCAAAGTCGTGTTTTTGGATGCAGACACCTTGATTCTACAAAATGTCGACGAATTGTTCGACAGAGAAGAGTTGTCCGCTGCCCCTGATGTCGGCTGGCCCGATTGCTTCAATTCCGGGGTCTTTGTCTGCGTCCCCAATGAGGAAACCTACCGACAACTCGTCGAATTTGCCTTTTCTCATGGTAGTTTTGACGGTAATTAACTATCATTGCAAATCAGTTGTGATCGTTTTGATATATCTATATTAAACATGCTTTACATAGGTGGAGATCAAGGCATTTTGAACGACTTTTTCGCTAGTTGGTCTCAAGAGCCTTCTCGCCGACTCCCTTTCACCTTTAACGTCACTCCGTCTACGGTCTATTCGTACTCCCCAGCATACCGTCGATTCAAACATGACATCAAAATCGTCCACTTTACCGGGCTCAACAAGCCATGGAAATGGAGTAGGTCAGTTACCATTCCTGACTTGATCTGTCGCAGTGCTGAATTGCGGAACTAACTGATGATCTTCCTTTAGATTTTCCAATGGTGAACCCGTACCAAAGGGCAATTCCTCAGAGGATATGCTGAAGTATGCGTTTTATTGAATATTTTCAAAACTGATTACACGACACTAACGGTAACTTCATTACGAAACAGCCTTGTGAGTCGCTGGTGGCAAGTGTATGATAAATATTCCTTGAAGTCGGTTAGTCTCATTTTCATTGTTTATCACATTTCTTCAAATTCCATGCTGCTCGCTGACACATTTAAATATCGTACTGATAGACCGAATCTTCTGCTGGAAAGAATAAAGTATGTGTCATCGAATAATCTACAAGTCAAAGCTAATAAGTGCAAGTCGCTGACATTTACTTTTCCACTTTCACTAGCCTCGTGGAGCATCTGGTTCCTATTATAATTTTGGAGGTTTCAACCCCGGTGTTGGTGGTTGGTCCTATTCTGGCCCCAATCCCATGGAAGACTTCAAAAATTATCGCATTGAATGGCCAGCTGAAGCGTATTCTTCTCGTATGGACTACCGATTTCATCATGACCATCCACATGACGACGATGACCTCGAAATGGCTGAACGTTTTGTCAAGCTGAAGCCTAAATCACCGGTAACCCCAGCACCCTCTAGTCCATTCTCTCCTGGGCTTCCCATGAATTTTTCTTCGTCAAACGAATCAGATAGAGCACACGCCGCTTTCGAACAGAAAATGCAACAACGCACTGTTACGCTGCAACCCATATCTCCACCGAAACAAAACAATTATACGGCCACTCCTGTCCTTCACTCTGCACCTTCCGGTAAACCCTCGTCGCCTCCAACGGCCGATGGTATTCCGGCATCAATGAAAACTGGAAACAACTTCGTTCAAAGCATCGATCATGATATGACTCCCAAGACAGCGCAGTCCGCGCTCACGGAAGGCAGTAGCATTCCGGCACAAAAAGTTGCAACCACTGTGCGTCCTCCAAAGCCACAATTGAGCAAGAAATAACTTTGATTCAAATACATTGCCACTCAATATTCTTCTTCGTTTGCATTCCATTACCAACAGACATTCTTTAGATTTTTAGTTATTTTATCCGTCTTTTTTGGGGATGAACGGAAAAAGTTATGCTTCATCAGTTTAGTTCACATTGGTTGGCTCTTTATGAATAAATATTTAAGGCTACAGTTACCGTGATGGGTGTTGAATTTGTATCATTTATAAATTTGTATTTATGGGTTTTCTTCGTCTTTCTTTTGAATATAGTTATTTAAAGTTCTTTGGAGTGTTAGGTGACGGCTACGATAAGACGAACAGTTGGTGATACTTGTCTCGGCGCGTTCATGTTTCAGTAGTATACCATATTTTTGACGATTGTTGGTAGACCAAAAATTTGTATTGTAACCGTCATTATCCTGTACCATTCTTATATTGTCAGAACAGTAATATTTCTTAACCTTTGGCTAAATGTTCTATGTTGTTCCCAAGGATGAAGTCTGCAGTCGCTCAACATGAAGCAACGTTAATCTACCATCGGCCAGTTCATCCAAAATTCTCCCATACAGTATAATATCTACTCGTATTTTGACCATTACCTATCAACCTACTCCTGACTGAGGTTATCAGCATCCTCCAATACCATGATTGGAAACTGAAAGTGTGGTGTTTGTATTGGCCATTCACTGTGCACTAAAGAATATATCTTTGCTGTAACGCGGAATATTCATCAGCCTCGTTAGCGTAGTGGTTATCGCATCTGTCTTGTATGACTTCGCGTCGTTGCAAACAGAAGGTCAGTCGTTCGAATCGGCTACGAGGCATTTTTCTTTTGGCGTTTTGCTTCTTTTTTTTTCTGTTTTTTTTTATTATTACTTCTGATTATTATATGTTGCTATATCTGAAATGTCTTTTAATGTTGCTTTTCTTGTGAGGGTACTCGTTGTTTGACCAAGTCTTCTTGGTTTTGTATGTTTAGGTTATTACATTCTATTATTTTTGTGTCGCTTGCAGCAGCTATATATTTTCCATAGGTTTTAAATAGATTAAAGACCTAAAGTAGTAATTAGTTTATCTATTTGTACTACAAACATTTTATTCCTTCTGTTTCGCTGGCAGCAACTATATTCAGAGGTTCTGACTAGCTGGCTAGAGACCTAAAGTAGAATTTTGTTTATCTATTTGTACCACATACATTTTAATCCTTCCGTGTCGCTAGCAGCAACCATGTTCAGAGGTTTTGAATAGACAAGGACCTAATTTGGAATTTAGTTTATCTAATTGTACGACATTTAAAGTAGCTATTGAGTGTTGAAGATACGTGACATTTAGAGTATTCCAGACTTGAAACATGGAACTTGCAGCTACTGTATGACGAATACTAGAAAAAGCAACCCCTCGGTCGCCACCTTGTCGCCACTCGCCACTTATTGATTGTGAGGGTACATATTAAGTTCTAGAATGTCTCATAAGTTCTATTAGAATCTACTAGGATAGCATCATTGCCACCGCACCTGCCAAACACGAATACGCTATTGTCCTTCGAGGTTGTTCGAAGTTCGAGAGTCAGAAAAAATGTACTGCATATGCAGACACATAATTCTACACGCGTTTAATTCGCTGCTAATAATAGGATAATGATTGATGTCATATTTTGAGTCGATTCGAGACTCGCCAGTCAGCACGAGAGACGACTCCGATTGTAAAGGACTTGAAATCTGTCTGCGATGTTCTTCCGCCGATCGACGCCCCGAATCTGAAAATGGATGGCGTGGGCCGTGGAGGTCACAATCGATGGATTCATTTAACTACCAAACATTCAGAGCGTACACTCGTGGGCTCTCTTTCGTCGTAACGGTGTCGTGAATATATAATTACCCTTTTGTGCGTCTAATTTTACGTTTCCTCGAAATTTTTTTGTTCGGCTAAATTTACGCGTAGTTGATGTGGTCAAGAGCTAGTTAGTTGAATACTCTAATAACCTCTTCCTATCAACTGCCCTCTACTACTATCATCTATACCCTATTTCAATATGCTGACAGACAACGAGACGCTAATATTGTCTGAAACTAGCGCTCGGCGAATACCTGTTCTTGTGTTGTTCTCTATTCCTTGCTGTGTACTCAACCTTCTGGTCCTCCTGCGTCTGTATGGCCGTCGAAGTTCACTTGCTCCTTCGCAAATTCCATTCCTGTGTTTAGCACTTGGGGAAACCACACTTCCGTTGTCTGTCACCGTCTTTCAAATAAAATTGTTATTAAATGATAACCGCCTTCCTTATTATGAATGCTTAATAGATGGAATATTGACCGTGCTTCTTTCTGGTATGTTTAAATATTGTTATGGCGAAACGTGTCTGAAATTGCATTGACTAATACACGGGCAAAAGCAATTTGCATTTTGACTTTTTTTGTCATCGCGGTAGATAGATACCTCATTATTGTGCGAAACCAGACACTTTCCGTAAAGAGAATGTTAAAACTGCTTGCCCCAACTTGGTTTCTCTCCGTTCTATTTGCAATTTTCCCCCTCTTTGCCGGAACGCGTGTATTGCCCAGGCCAGCCGAAGTTTACTGCATACATGACACGCGACCAAGTACTTTTCCGTATAAATTTTTTACCATTGGTTGTATCTTCTTCATGGCACTGGCAATGATAGGAACTTCCATTTTGTATTACATGGTATATCGCAAAGTCAAGTACGAAGGTTTCAATAGCTATTCTAGGGACAGTAACCCGAGTTTGAAGAACACTACAGATTCAGTCAACAACAAATCTATATCAAACTTACAGCAGTCAGTGATTTCTTCAAGCATCTCAACTGCCAACTACCAACGTCAAGTATCGGTAACTAAAAAGCTCGCGTTTATGACGACAATATATTTCATCGGTTCGTTATTGCTCTTGGCCTTGGTCAGTGAACTATATATACTGACAACCTTTGCCCTCTCCTTATTATTTTTAGCATGGTTTCCCATGGGAATAGCGTTCATGTATGAGACAGCGACAGGAGAATATATCGGTAAAGAACTCGATTTCGTTGCGGCTTGTATGGCATTCTTGCAAGGTAACAACTGCTCCTTCTCATTATGTAATGAAGCGAAATTCCTGACATAACTTTTTTTTTATCTGCGTTTTAGGCATGTCGAATTCGTTAGTACTACTTTTCCTGGACAACAGATGGAGAGTGAATCTGCCGAATTGTTTTACACGTAAAAAAACTGTACCCTTCTAAGCGTGGCTCATTGCCATTGCAACCTGTCAAACACGAATACGCGATTGTCCTTCGAGAGTCCTTCGAGACATCAGAAAAAATGTATCCTGCATATACAAACACATAATCCTACACGCGATTCATGTCGCTGCTAATAATAGGCCCCGTTGAATCAATCAAACATATTGTTAAATTTATTGATGTCATGTTCTGAGTCGGTTCGAGACTCGCCAGTGAGCACGAGAGAGCCGACTCCAACACCGACGATTGTGGTGGTGTAAGTCTTCGAAATTTCTCCGCCGATCGAGGGCCCAGATCTGACATAGATGGCGTGGAGTATTTAGTCGATAAATTACTGTTCATTATTAATTTCAAACGTCCAGGGAGACTGGCGGAATATCTTTCGACGTAACTATATTTCCTTGTTTTCCGGCTAAATTCACGACTCCTTAAAAATTTTGTTGATGTGGCAAAGAGCTAGCTAATATTGAATACCTCTCACCACCAGCCGTCCACTTCCTCCTATAATCCGTACTGCACTCCAATATGCTGACAGACACTGAGACGCTTATATTGTTTGAAACGAGTGCTCGGCGAATACCTGTTCTTGTGTTGTTCGCTATTCCTTGCTTTGTACTCAACCTCCTAGTCATCCTGCGTCTGTGTGGTCGTCAAGGTTCAATTGCACCATCGCAAATTCCTTTCCTCTGTTTAGCAGTAGGGGAAAGCGCACTTCCGTTGTCAGTCGCCATTTTTCAAGTAAAATTGTTACTGAATGAAAACCACCTTCCGTATACCGAATGCTTAATAGATGGAATATTGACCGTGCTTCTTTCTGGTACGTTTCAATATTCTTGTGACAAAACTTGTTTAAACTTGCGTAGACTGACATCCCAATTAAAGCCATTAGCATTTTGACTTTCTTTATCATCGCGTTAGACAGATACCTTATTATTGTGCGAAACCAGACACTCTCCGTAAAGAGAATGTTAAAAATGCTTGCCCCAACGTGGTTTCTCTCCGTTGTATTTGCAATCTTCCCCATTTTTGCGGGTACGCGTGTATTGCCGAGACCAGCCGAAGTTTACTGCATACATGACACACGACCAAGTACTTTTCCGTATCGATTTTTTACCATTGGTTGTATCTTTTTCATGGCACTGGCAATGTTAGGAACTTCCTTCTTGTATTATATGGTTTATCGCAAAGTCAAGTACGAAGGTTTCAATAGCTATTCTAAAAACAGTAGCCCGAGTTTGAAGAACACTTCGGATTCGGCCAACAGCAAATCTATATCAAACGTACAGCAAGCTATGATTTCTTCAAGCATCTCAACTGCCAACTACCAACGTCAAGTATCGGTAACTAAAAAGCTCGCGTTTATGACGACGGTATATTTCATTGGTACGTTATCGCTCTTTGCCTAAGTCAGTGAACTATATACACTGACAACATGTGTCTTCTCTTTATTATTCTTTTAGCATGGTTTCCCATGGGAATAGCGTTCATGTATGAGACAGCGACCGGAGAATATATCGGTAAAGAGCTCGATTTCGTCGCGGCTTGTATGGCATTCTTACAAGGTAACAACTAATCTTTCTCATCGGGTGTAATGAAGTAAAATCCTGACATATACATTTTTTATATGTGCGACTTAGGCATGTCAAATTCGTTGATCATACTTTTCCTGGACAACAGATGGAAAGTGAATCTGCCGAATTGTTTTACACGTAAAAAAACTGTACCCATTTAAGATTTTTTCTGCGAGTACGGAGTAATTTTTCAATACATGTGTCATTTTGCCGTGTCAAGGCCATATTTTTTCCCTAATGTATTAAGCTCGTATTGAAATAATTTGTTACGACCAACCAAGAAATGTTAATTGGTGGCACATGTAAAATAAAGTTGACTATTATATACCAATTGAAGAACTTCGCAGTTCATTATGGGCATTGTGCTTATAATCCATGTTTTTGGGGTTGATTAAGTGCCGATAAATTGAAGATTGACATCACATAATAAATTTCGCCAACTCCTAGTTCTGAACGAGCTCGCAGAAAGCCTCGAGGTGGATGTGTACTCAGAAAAATTTAATCCAAAGTAGAAAATGTTCCGTCCTCGTTCTTGATTTAGTAGAAGGTGGGACATCATAGTGTATCTGCTACTGATCATAAAGACCCACGAGCATCTATTTTTTTCAAACAACAGGCCCATCATACTTTGAGTAGAATATGAGCTATTGGGGCCAGACGACCCACAATGGCCCGCCGCATATGGTCCTTTTGATACTCTGTTATTTCTCTCTCGGCCAGATTTCCGTCTGCATCAAAGTATAGTTTTCGCACGAAAAAATCGTTTCGTTGTAACTCGCTCGTTTGTATTAAACTTCCACGAATGTCGAATACCACTGACACGCTAGTGTTGTCCGAGTCAAACACAAGACGAATATTAATTCTTGTGTTCTTCTCTATTCCTTCCTTTATTCTCAATTTTCTCGTCTTGTTGCGTTTGTATATCCGTCGAAATGCACTCACGTCGTCGCACATTCCCCTCGTCAATTTAGCCGTAGGCGACTGCACACTTCCCTTGGTTGTCACTATTTTGCAAGTA